GGGGATATTTTTTAAAAATCTAAATAAAACAGCTAGGAGCAGGCTTTCCTTTCTGGGTACCTGCTGCAGGCCAGAGCCCTTCTGTGTGATGGGGGTGATGCCAGACCCTCCACCCCCTCTAACGCACTCTAGCCCTGGGCACCCTGATTGTGCAGCTTCATCTCAGACACCAGCCCTCTGCATTTCCAAGCCTCGTAGCCACTGTCAGGAGGAATTACAGAATGTGAAGCCCTGCACATCTGTATGGTCATTGTTTCTGCTCTCCTATGTCCTGTGCTAACAGACTTGAGTACTAGATTTTTCTGAATGGACTTCATGAATCCTCAGCAGCCAAGAGCAGCTGTTTTTATTTCCAGGTGAGCTGTTCTACTGTTAGGGCCCCATGAAACCCAACGGAGGGGCCCAGGTCAATTCAGTTTTCTGAGAGGCTGGGTATGTATTAAAAATACAATGCCAGATTGGTTATAAAAATTATGGTACATGTTGTTTTTCTTTGCATTTTAATTTTGGGGTTTTGTTTTGTTTTTTGCCTTTTTGAGACAGCATCTCACTATGCAGTTCAGGCTGGCCTTAAGCTCACTTTGTATCCCAGGTTGATCTCAAACTTGAAACAGTGCTCCTGCTTTTCAGCCTCTGAAGTGCTGGGATTACAGGCATGCACCATCATGCCCAGTGCTGTGTTGTGTTTTTTAAGACAGGGTTTCACTCTGTAGTTCTATATAGTAGACTAGACCTGAACTCACCAAGGCTAGCCCAGGCTAGCCTTGAACTGACAGCAATCCTCCTGCCTCAGCCTCCCAAGTGTTAGGATTACAGATGCACACCATCATACCAGATTAATGGTCCATTTGAATACTTGCTGTTAACAATAAACACTATCATTTATAAATAACTTCCCAGTCACCCTACTGGTAGGTCTTTTTTTCTTTGTTTTGCCTTGTTTTGTTAGCTCAGGCTGGCTTTGAACTTAGTGTATAACCCAGGCTGGCCTTGATCTCCTGCCCAGCCTTCAAGTGCTGGGATGACAGGCATGCACACCACACTCAGCATCTTGTTTTTCAAGTAACCTTCAGTCAGGTCATACTATTGCTTTTTTTTTTTTTTTTTTTTTTTAGCTCAGCCTGGTCTTGAACTTGATTCTCCTGCCTCAGCGTCCTGAGTGCTGGGATTACAGGTGTGCACCACTAGGCCCGGCATATTGTTACTCTTCGTGACTAACCCTGGCTTACCTGAGACATCTTTATTAGGATCTAGCAGTACACCATCTTGAAAGATTTTTGTAAACTTTTTATTATGAGAGCGTTGAGATGCACATGCAGACCTTCGTGTCCCCACATGACAGTATCTTTTATAACTCTAATGCAGTATCAGAGCCAGGAAAGCCTCCCTGATTCAACCCATTGATCTTATTCAGATTCCTCCAGTTTTGTGTCACATTTGCATGAATGTTTATACTTAATTCCTTGCAGTTGTATGAAGGCTAAACTCAGGTACGAGTATTTACCCCACTGTCAAAGATTTGGGACAGTCTCATCTCCACAGCCGCATCTGCGCTGCTCTTGTATAATCCCACACCCTTTCCTCCTGTCGTCCCTTTCCTTTCTCCTACACCTGCCAATCTGTTCTCTATTTCTGTCATGTCGAGCGCATTCCATAAACAGAAGCGCAGGTCTGACGCCTTCTAAGCTGAGCCACTCTCATTCAGCGCAATTACCTGGAGATGCCCTGAAACAGCAGCCCCATCTTGAGCTCTTTCCTTTTTGTTGCTTAGTAGCATTTCACCTTCCACACGTCCTGCAGAAGCAGTGGGTCTGCCATCCATCAACTGCAGACCATTCACTGTAGGCACCGCTGGCTTACTGTGCCTCCCTTGCAGACCTGCTAGCCGATTCTAGTTCTTTAGCTGTTACAAATGAAGCCACTATGGAAATGTGTGTACAGATCTTCATGTGACCCTGGATTTACATCTCTCTAGGATAAATGCTGAAAGACATTTGTCAGTGCCTGCCACGGTATTATGAGTCTATTGTTTTGCTTTGGTTTTAGTACTGAGGATTGAACTCAGGACCTTGCACTTGCCAGGCAGGCACCCAAGCCACTGAGTTCTCTCTCTGGCCTGGTATTTGGATTCTAGCTAAATTTATTTTTTTCTTCTGTCTTCACTTATAATCCATGCTTTCAGTTGTCTTTGATGCCTAGTTGCACATGTTTCTATCCTTGTTTAAGTGCATTACTTAATGGTAGAAGTTTCCTTTTTTCTTTTGTATTTTAGGGAAGGGTCTACAGGGTGTTCAGGGTCTCATAGTGTTTGAACTCCTAGTGATCTGCCTGTTTACAGCCTCCCAAGAGCTCGGATTACAGGCACATGCCACCTCTCCCAGTCTCAATTGCTGTCTCAGTGCGCCCCAGGGGCAGGGCCATTGGGATCGAACCTCTAGCCCCTGCCCCTGCTTGCAGGCACTTTACTCCGCTGAGCTATTTGGCTGGCCATGGCAGAGGTTTCTAAAGAGGAAGTGAAAAAGTTAAGTGCTGTGTCTGTATTTCTGTGCTTTGCCGCACTAGAGTTGTAGTGGAAACTTATAGTGATGACTACGTGGGAAATGCTATATAATTTTGAACATGCTGTAATGCAAGTTAGAGCTCAAGCAACAAACACTTGTGGGTTTTTTTCAGGCTTTTAAGACAGTCACATCAGAGCAAGCCAAGAAGACAGAACATGTAACGCCTTTCAAAGAAGAAACAAAAACAGCATTACAGCCACTGCAAGGTAAACTTTTTTTTTTCTTTTTTTTTTTTTCCAGAACCGGGGATTGAACTCAGGCCCTTGTGCTTGCCAGGCAAACACTTATTCTAC